TTCAGGTTCTTCTGCCCTGCATCGCCATGATGTTTGCTTTCCTATTAATACATAGTGCTTTTTAACAAATATGTTCCTAGTGCCTTGCATCAAAGAAGCATCCTACAGCTCTTTCCAAACGTGTGCTCTCTCATCCTGGAGCATTAACAGTCTACCCATCTGGCAAGAAGGGCAGAGTTCAGTATCATTCAATGCAATGCATTCTGAAAGGAAGGGAATGCCCTGGAGGCCAGGTCTAGACCCCTTTCCCCTCTGATACACAAACGCGAATCCATTGATGCTAAGACCTCAGTGGTTCAGGAGCCAAATTAGCGCTCAACATTACCCAGCAGAGCCACAGTCGTGCGAAAGCCTTGTCTCAGTTACTATAGTGCTAGCTATTTTATATATATTCTTCTCACAGCAAATGAGTTAATGACTTGGTGCAAGTCGATGAATTAATTGATTAATAACATCATAAAAGCAGCCTGATGGGTTAATAACTTAGACTGGTTAATAATTAAATCTCACAGGGTTTTCATAGCAGGTGCTGCAAAGAGCCACAGGTGACAGTAAAGAGCTACTTGCATCTCGCTGAGTACTACTGCTCTCATCCATTTGTTTAGGGCAGGGGTAGGCAACCTCTGGCACATGTGCCGAAGGCGACACGCGAGCTGATTTTCAGCGGCACTCACACGGCCAAGGTCCTGGCCACCGGTCCGGAGCCTCGGCATTTTAATTTAATTTTAAATGAAGCTTCTTAAACATTTTAAAAACCTTATTTACTTTACATACAACAATAGCTTAGTTATATATTATAGACTTATAGAGAGAGACCTTCTAAAAACGTTTAAATGTATGATTGGCACACAAAACTCTAAATTAGAGTGAATAAATGCAGACCCGGCACATCACTTCTGAACGGTGGCCGACCCCTGGGTTAGGTATTGGCAAAACATCTTGCACTGGTGTATGTGTGGCAAACTAGAACTCCCTTTGCCACTGCTGAAATGCAGCAACCTCTGGGCTGGAACATACGCACTCTGTGGATCAGCACGTTGGGCACTGGTGTTTTGGTTCAGCACCATTTCAAACATTAGGATCAAAAAGCACTAATCCTCAGAAAGAAAGGATGGTCTATCTTGTGGCTAAGGCGCTGGTCCAAATGCAGAAAATCTGTGTTCAATTCCTGACTCTGTCACCGCCATCCTGGTTGTCCTTTGGCATGTCACTTAGGCCCAGCTGCTCAAAGATACTTAGGTACAGGTCTGTCGCATCTTACCCGCATTTAACATGCGCGATTTCAGCTTTATGCGGTCGGCAAAAACAAAACAGAAAAACCCAAAACGAGAAAAATAACAATTTTATTACTGTACCTGTAGTGCGGGCGATTCCGCCTGCCATTGAACTCAATGTAATTTTGACTATACGCGGTTTTCACTTTAGGCGCTAACCGCGGAACGGAACCCCCGCGTAAGATGAGACTCACCTGTACCTAGATACTGCATCTTCAGCAGTAAGTAGGATGTAAGTTTCAAAACCACTTTGATTTAGGATTCCAAGCCTCTAATGTGAGTTAGAAACCTAAGACATTTTTTGACTTTGAGCCTCAGGGCCTGATTTTTTTTTTAAAGGTGTCTAGTGCTCTAAAGATGCAGCTAACTGCCAGTAGGAGTGTCAACAGCGCCTGTGTAGCTAGCTATCTGCATACTTAGGTGCCAAGATACCTTTAATAATTTGGCCTTTAGGCATCTAAATCACATAGTTGGGTTTTAAGAATGAGGAGTACTTGTGTAACCTTAGAGACTAACAAATGTATTTGGGCATAAGCTTTCGTGGGCTAAAACCCCACTTCATCGGATGCATGTTACCTGTAATCTTGCTGTACTGCCATTCCCAGACTGTAAAATGGAGCTAATAATTGCTTTCATCCACTGTTTGTCTGTTTGTTGTCTTGTTAGACTGCATGCGCATTGGGACAGGGCCTGTCTCGTACTAGGTTACTGCGGAGTGCCTAGCAAAGTGCAGCCCAGCTCTCTGTTGGGGCCTAGAGCCTCCACCCCAATACAACTAAAGTTTTGAATTCTAGCAATGCGAACACGTGACTCAAATCATTCCGCTAGGTCCTGCTGACAGGCACCAGGTAACTGCGTTGTCCCAATAGAAAAGGAAACACTCGCGTGAAATATGTATCGACGGCTGTGGGCGTGGTGTGTGAGAACACTTTGATCTCATCAAGCAGAAAACAATTTGACGGAAGTCTTTTCCTATGGGTATCAGGGCAGGATTTGTCCCAGCACTCAAGGTATCTATGAAGTGTTATTTATTCAGATGCTTTGTTATTCCGTTTCATGAGGCAAGGCAGCGACAGCATCTCGTTAGCTGAAGAACGGGAAACCATTCCTTGTGTGTGTTTGTTTTACACCATGTAGCATGTGGCTTGTAATCGTGGGCAATGTTCTAAACACCAAATGGCATGAGAGCTACTCATAATGAAGGGCTACTATTCCACCCATTCACTTAGTGACAGCAGGACGCTGATTAAAATGCTAATCACTAATTATGATCTATGGGTAGCAGCCTGACTGCAACTGTCAGCAATTCTCGGTATGTGAACTGAGAGGTTTGTTTGGGGGTCATTGGATGATCTTGTCTCACATCCCCAAAGCATTTAAGCAAGTACTTCAGACCATTCCTGTCCACCAAAGCATTTAAGTCAATTAGATGTAGGCATAGACAACGTTAAGCAAGTGTGTCATTCCCAGATCCTCAAAGGTATTTAGGTGCCTAACTCCCATAGAATTAATTGATTTCACTAGGTGGTAGGTGCCTAAATATCTGTGAGGCTCTGGGCCCAAGTGCTTTATTGACTAGGGATGGAGAGGCTGAATTAAGGGCAACTACATAGTCATTGTATCCATTCCCAAAGGACTCTGGGTATGGGAGTTTGGAAGGCTCAAGACCATACTTAGAAAATATTTTCTCCTACGGTTTAAGTGCATCTTTCCCTCCCTGCTTTTTTTGACCTACAAATGTTTATTTCCCTCATTCCCACTAGATGCAATAATATCCTCATACAGGCAAAGAATTCTGAATGATGATTATTTGTACTGACACAGCCTCTAGGAGCCCCATTCCTGGACCGGGACCTCTTTGTGCTAGGCACCGTGCAAACACAGAAGAGATTACAAGTAGAAAGATCTAAAGTGGATCTTAAGAGACTTTCCATGCCCTGGGCTTGATCCTGCTGCCTCTATTCAGCTAAAACATTTGTCCATTTCAGTAGGTGTCAGATCACGCTCGATCTAGGCCAGGGGTGGGCAAACTTTTTGGCCTGAGGGCCACATCAGGGTTCTGAAACTGTATGGCGGGCTTCGTAGGGAAGGCTGTACCTCCCCAAACAACCTGGCCCCCGCCCCCTCCCACTTCCCACCACCTGACTGCCCCCCTCAGAACCCCTGACCCATCCAACCTCCCCTGCTCCTTGTCCCCTGACCACCCCCTCCTGGGACCCCCCACCCCTAACTGCCCCCCGGACCTGACCCCCTATCAAATCCCCATGTCCCCTGACCCCTATCCACACCCCCGCCCCCTGAGAGGCCCCCCGGGACTCCCATGCCTATCCAACCGCCCTCTACTCCCTGTCCCCTGACCACCCCGATCCCTAGCCACACCCCCGCCGGTCCCCCAGGACTACCATGCCTATCCAACCCTCCCTGTCCCCTGACCCCCCCCCCCCCCTGCCCCTTATCCATCCCCCCCCCCACTCCCTGCCCATGCCGCTCAGAGCAGCAGGACTGGCAGCCGCCCAGCTGGAGCCAGCCACGCCGCTGCACTGGCGGCACAGCAAGCTGAGGCAGCAGGGGAGGGGCCAGGGGCTAGTCTCCCCGGCTGGGAGCTCAAGGGTCGGGCAGGAGGGTCCCATGGGCCGGATGTGGCCCATGGGCTGTAGTTTGCCCACCTCTGATCTAGGCACACAAGAATCACATTGCCCGGTGCTGTGTCGGTGGGGGAGTACAGCAACTGTTTAATAGCTCGGCAACATTCCACAAAAGTGCAGGAGAGGAAGGACACTGTGGCCAATTGAACCTGGATTTTTTTTCGGGAGGCAGAATGTCATTAGCCAAATTGCTATTTGTCCAGGAAGTTAAAGTTAAACACCCCGCTAAGAAGTACATTTATATCAAACTGTTGTTAATTTAACAGTGTGCCCCCTGGGTGGGTCACTGGCAGTGGGGATGAAACCTGGGCCATTTGGGATGTAAAATCTAACCCTCTGATGCCTGAGGTAAAAGGCCCACCTTTCTTAGCACAAAGGCTGTACATACTCCTGTAGTTCTGTGGCCCAACCACTAGAGGGGGACAGCCAGCCAGACGAAGCTACCAGAGGAAGGATGGTCTAGTGGCTACATCATAGATTGGCAATTAACTTGGTGTGCCTCAGGCAGGATGCTGTGCCCAATGTAGCCACAGACTTCCTTGGTGATCTGGCAGTCATCTCAACCTCAGCGCCTCCGTTTTTTCATATTTAAAATGGGGACAATCACAATTCACTTACCTTTCAGGCATAGTGCAAGGCTTAATTGACTAATTTTTGTAAACTGCTTTGAGATCCTCCTCTTATAAGATGCTGCTATTGTAACCAGCCTCCAGCAGCAGGCGCCAGCGTGGTTGGGGAGAGGGCATTGGGCTGGGACTCAAGAGACCTATTCACAGCTCTGCCACTGGCCTACTTGGAGACCTTGAGCAAATTACTTCACCGCCGTGTGCCTCAGTTTCTCTGCCAAATGGGGATAGTTGTGCTTGTCTCACTTGTAAAGTGCTTTACCATCTATGGCTGACAAGAGCTAGGAAGAGGTGGTGTCATGTTGCGGATAGGTTTTCCCAACAAAATTCAGCCCCTCCCTTGAGACAGGGCCTGTGAGTTAAATGAGCAACAAACACACACAGGCATTCCCTTAGAGACAATCTGTTTAATAAATATGACTGTAAAAGCAATAAACAATAGCAATTATACAGAACACTACATTATCTTTAACCAAGAAAAAAATACATCAAAAAAGTCATTTTAAAATCAGCAGTAGTTCCAAGACTATAAGAAAACTTTTTAAGTGGCTTACTATAAAAATAAGTTGGCTAATGCCAGACTTCAAGGGCCAGTTAGAATCCTGGGGGCTATTATACAGTGGCTGCAAAAAAACCAACGACGTTCCCATCTTGCTTAAAGCGGTAGTTGCAAATACAATAGTGAGTGATGTCAATGCCTGTGGCTAATGGACTTATGTAGCTCCACAGAAAGGATAAATAGGCAGAGAGGGTGCCCAGTGGGTGAGGGTGGGACTGACCTTTTCCCTGTGAGCATCACCCTTTTTTCAGAGCCATGATCTGTACCTGACTTTTACCCTCTGGCGTATGCTGTAGCTGCATGCCCTTCCCGCCCCCAGCTGTTCTGAGGGCTGTGCTTAAAAGCAGCGCTGGTCCTTCGGATCATTTGGATTTCAGCAGACTTTGAACCCAGCTCCCTATGGGTCTGAGACTGCACTGGTCTCTCATAGGGACCACGACGGGTCCAATCCTGAAATCTTTCCTCGGGCTGAGCAGGGGTTTACAGTCTAGCTGCTAAAAGTCCCTGCTGGAAGTGGTGAGCAGACTTACTGTGGCCAGCCAATTACCTTACACAGGGCCAAGAGCCAGGCTAATGGACATATATTTCCAAACCCTTAACACCCCGGTTAAGTATTTGGAATGCGCTTGCTCTAGCTACATGCCGCAGAGTGAGGAACTGCCGCCATGGCACTGGGAGTACTGGATACGGAGAGGAAGTGTGGGGAGGCCACGCACTCAGACATACAGCAGTGAGACACCTGAGGAAGGAGAGGGCCCTGACAGGTTGCCAGGAGGCTGAGGCTATGAGCTAGAGCCAAGCCCTTGACCCAGAAGCAGGAAATTCACGCTGCTGAGCGGCAGGGAGTAGGGGTGGGGGTCTGAATCCACTGTTTGTGGGTGCCTTCTTGTGCTGTGATTTAGACCATGCAAAGTGGGCATGGGTGAGCTGGCAGCATTTTACCCCCCCCCCTTTGCACGGGTCTAATTGACTGCACACACGATGGAGAATGAAGTCCAGAAGGGGTAGTGGGAGGCAGCTGGGGTCATGATATTTGCAGGGCAGGACTACGGGCCGTAGAAGCTCATCCCGGCTCATCGTGCCATGCCGTGAGATTGGGCGGCCTGCATGGGGGCTGCCTCTGGATCATGCCACATAGTGTGAATGGGCTAACCAGTTTTTTTTAAGAAAGCATCTGGCTTTGCAGCTGAGGGGCTGATTTCCTGGCTTCGCTACAGGGAGCTACGAGCAGTCATAGGCGGCAGAACGAAGGACGGAGAAAGTGAAGGTCCAAACGAAGACAAAAACCAAACCGGCCCAGAAATGGTGCAGTGTCTACTCCTGTGTATTTCTGTGTGGCTCGTGAAAGTTGGCTGGGGGTAGCTACCCCACCCACCGCCTGCAGTGCTAAAAAAGCAGTTAACTCTAAAGCCAAATACCCTTATTCCCCCACCCCCAACCCTTCAAAAAGACCCCATGCACATTGCTGGCCACTATCATTATGAACTGTCTACAAATAAGAGATTGAGAGGAAAGTGAGCTGTGGGGGAGGGGAAGGGCTATGGGGGCAACAGGTGATCTCCTTTCCCCCTATTAAAATACAGCACCTGTACACTGCAATTCCAACCACGGTCTGGGTATAATGTCCACATGCACAGGATTAAAGCTAAAAACCTTTTGTCGTCCGAAGAATTAAAAAGTCCAAATGCAGTGAGTTTTTCTTTTTTATATATATATATCTATATCTATATACAGATGTACTGGTGTCCTGGGTTCAAACATTTACATAGGTAGGGATTTCTTTTGTGCTTTGAGTCTCAGCAGCTATGGAAATACTTCCTGTGGCAAAGAAAAACAAAACAAAAGCAATCGTTAGCTGAGTAATAAATGTGTTTCCGGAGAATGAAAGATTTTAAGGTGTCTCGCCCTTTGGTGTGAGGATTTAATCGGTCGAGCCTGACACATTCTTCCCAGACCTGTTCTCTTGCCACTTAGAAGGGTGAATGGAACATCTTGTTCTTCTTTCTGATGAAGATGATTCACCCATGTCGAAGAAAAGAGATAGAGGGAAGGGAGGATGTGGGGAAACTGTGTTTCTACGAGATAATGTGTAACACTGACTCATGTACTGACATCTGCTGTGAAAAGGGGTCAGAGACTTGACAACCCATTGTATGATTTGCCTTTGCAAAAGAAGGGTTTGCTGCGACAAGTAGCTACTGTGCTTTGGGCTGTGGAGGCGTGAGTGGGACCCAACGCCCCCAGCCTTTGGATTTCCTAAACGTACAAGGCATGAATGTTAGTCTCCGCTGGCAGAGGGGAAAAAACTGCTTCGAAACAAACCCCACACTGATGAGAAACATCCCATTATGTCTATTGCTTTGGTTCCCCAAAAGAAAATGCCCTGAAAAAAAAATGCTGATTTCCAGAAAGACCTGGGGTTATCACACAGGACTAGTACGGGTGAAAATGAGATTCGCCACCCAAGCTCCCTGTAGAGACAGGTGCCTAAGAACGGGCTTCACAAAAGCTAGCGCCCACTGAGCCTCCCAAGCTAGCCAATAGGAAATGCTGAGGAGAGGGATGTGACCTAAACCTGCGCATCTAATTCAAGGCAGGAGGCAGGCACCAATCTCAGCCATGAACCCTCTCCTGGAGTTAGGCGCCTATGGCCGATTAGTCCTTTTTCAAGGAAACCCAAGGAGGCGGTGCCCCCATAGGAGCTCTAGCCCATTGATTACAGGATGCAGGAGAGCCAGGTTCAGTTTCCCCCCTCTGCCTGACGTGGAGCAGAGGTCTCCCACCTCCCTGGAGAGCGCCTAACCCTCCGGCTATGGGGTATTCTGGGGCAAGGTGCTCTCAGTCTCTCCTGTCGGAGCTGTCTGGGGCTAGGGCATTGTGGTGGAAGACCCACGTTCAAATCCCTGCTACACATCTGGCCCGCGGGATGGGGGACGGGAGGAACTGAACGTGGGTCACTCACGTGAGGGCTGCCCTAAGCACTAGGCTAAACGTTATGGGGGAAGGGGTGCAACACCACCCCCTCCAGCCATTTTGTGTAGGTTTAGGCGTGCTCAGAGCACATCTACCAGACTGGGCCTCAAAGGCAAGACAGGTGGGGGAACGCATGTCTGTGAATCCTGCTGGGGCTGAGGAGTGTTAGGCTCGGAGCTGCTGGACAGTTGTCAGGCCTTTGTGCATGCCTGGCCACTGAGAATTAGATGCCTGAGAGACTTTTAATGGCAGAAACCGAGGTGCTTAAGGACTTTAGGAGCCCACAGTGTTAGGCAGCAGTTGGGTGTAGTGGTTTTGTGAATGCCGGTGGCAGCTAAAGTGGCACTTGTGTGGCCACTGTTGCCTTCCCAGAATACCAGATATTCCACTACTTCACAATGCGCGCTCTTCAAAATGGCATCCCCCGTCCGATACCGGTTAAAACCAAGTCCGGTTTTAGCTCCATACCGGGGGGAACAAACCAAGAAGAGGTTTAAAACCAGACAAAGTGCCTGCCTATACCTAAGTCTCCCTTGTGAATCCCACCCGATGAATCGTTGTGCTTTATGGTCCCCTCACACACAACTCAAGATCTATTCCTGTCACCAGCGAGCTCCAATCTGGCTTGCTTGTTCTTCTCGCTGGCAGGATTTTAGGGTATGTCTCCATTGCAGCTGGGAGGGGAGCGTCCCAGCTGGGCAGACAGCCTTGCTTTTGCTCTGCTCCCGCTAGCACACTAAAAATAGCCGCGCGGCTATTGTGCCACTGGAAATGGCCCAGACTAGCTTAGGGTGATCAGACGTCCCAATTTTATCGGGACTGTCCCGATATTTACTTGTTTGTCCCGAACATCGGTTGGGACGCGAATTGTCCCGATAATTTGCCCTCCGGCGCACAGGCGGAGGGGGCTCGCGCACCCCCCCCACCCCAACTCCACCCTGCCCCCGCCCCAACTCCACCCCTCCCTCCCCCATTGGATCCCTCCCCAAATCCCCACCCTGGCCCCGGCCCCAGCCCCGCCCCCTCACTGCCCCATTGGATCTCTCCCCAAATCCCCACCCTGGCCCCGCCTCTTCCCCAAGCACGCCACATTCCTCCTCCTCCCCCCTCCCTCCCAGGCTTGCGCTAATCAGCTGTATGGTGTCGCAAGCGCTGGAGGGAGGGGGGGAGAAGCAGGACGTGGCAGCCAGCTCAGGGGAGGTGGAGGCAGAGCGAAGGTGAGCTGGTGTGGGGGGGGGCAGGGCGTGGAGCTGCCGGTGGGTGCTAAGCCCCCACCAATTTTTCCTATGCTCCTGCAGCTCCTGGGTTTTTTGTTTTGTTGTTGCTCCGCCGGCACTCCCTCCTGCGTCCCGATATTTCACGTCTCTCATCTGGTCACCCTAGACTAGCTGCTCGCATCCAAGCCCACCTCATCCCTTGGGTTTGAGCTCGAGCTGCTGCCTGTGTCACGGTGACCACACTGCTATTTGTTAGCTCAAGCAGTCTGTCTACCTGGGCTGGGAGGCGCACCTCCTGGTTGGGAGCGTAGACATAACCAGAGGGGCTTATTGGGTTGTTTCTTTATGATAATGTTTTAATCCTTCCCCTTCTGCAACCCCATTGACCTCCACAGGGTTCCACAAAGTCTCAGTCAGGGCAATATTTAAAATGCATCTGTGGTGTATTAGTTATACAGCAGCCAACAGCACACGATGGACCTGGGAAAGTACCATGGCAAAATTCTGGCTCATGTAAGAGACAAAAGCTGCTCTAGCTAGACCAAGTAACTCTGCATGGCTACATTCCCAGCTGCTCCCCAGCACACCTGGAGAGGAAACGCATAGGTGGCCTGTTGCTGCCTGTCCTCTTTCTTGATCCTGAGGGGTAAAACTGGCCCCCAGCACAAGACAGAGCAGCCTAGGGGCTGCCCTGAATTGAGTCAGCTCCCAGGTCACTCCACTGGCCAGAATCACATTCCCTCTCCCCTTAATCGCTGTGGGGTGCCCCCTATGCGAGGCCGCCTCCAAATAAAGGTTCTCATTCACTAGGGGAATCCTCAGTTGGTGCCTCAGATCAGTTTTAAATTCCCTTTTGCCCACTGGAGCAGCGCGAAGCAGGTCCGTGCTCTGTTAAAACATAACTCGTCTGTGCTCAAGGTGACACATCCAGCTACAAATGGATGCTCCCCTAAAACTGGGGCCCATTCTCTAGCCCTTAGTCTCAAGAGTCATTCTTAGTCATGCAAGGCATCTCAGGGACCTCAGTGGGTCCACTCCTAAGGCCAAGGATTGCAGGAGTGTCGCTTTACAAGCCACATATAACAATGCTCAGAATATCTGTAGACACCTGCTTCAGCAGAAACTGTCAACCTCACCCGATCAGCTAAGGGAAGAGTTCAATTTAAATTCTTCCCACATTCATCTAGGCCCCCAGTTCAGCAAAGTACTTAAACATGGCCCTATGTCCTTTTGTCCTCAGTGAGACTTCAGCACATAAGCGAAGCACTTGCACAAGTACTTTGCTGAACGGGAATGGATTTGAGCACATTCTGAGGCATGGCCATAAATCTTTCCCTTAATGTTGTGAAACAAAGGGGGTATTTTCTATAGGTGCCGATTTCGAGTCTTATTCTGATATCCCATTACACTGGTGCTACTGCATTGAAGTTAATAGGGATTGCACCAGAGTAACTGAGAGATGGATAGTCCTCCTGTGTTTATTATGGTTCTAACTAAAGCCTGTTTGTACATTCCCAACATCACCAGTCAACAATCACTGCTGTTTATTCCCCCTCTGAGAGAAGTCTGCTTGAAGGCGAACCCTGCTGTCCAATACTGAGATCCATATTTTGCTCTGCTCCCCAAGAGGCCGGCTGTGGTGATTTCACGGTTTGCCCGACCGTTCGGAGTAGCTCATGTGCGTGGCACCAAACACATCATTTCAGGCTGAGCTTTTAAGCTGTACTTACCGAGTCGCGCTCCTGCCCCCGTGTACTGGAAAAAGGGGACCTCCTTTTATGCGTTCAATCTAGTGCTTACCCCAAAATTACATAGGTGCCAGAAACGCGATGACATTTCTCTGACAGCACATGTTAGCAATGACATGATTACAGAGTTTTTCGGGAGGAGAGAGGACTACACAGAAAACTACATGGGCAAAGACTCAGGTTGTTAAATTTCTTTTTCATCATAGGGAAGTGGAGGGGAGGAGGAGTTAGCTTGGTGGCTTTGAGAGATGTTAACACAGCAGTAGAGGGGGGGAGTGCTCTGGGAGGGGTGGTGGGAAGGTTCAGAATAAGTCTAGCCAATTAGAACTCAGAGTCTAACCAGCGGTTGGCTGCTGGAAGTTATTTACCTATGGGCCGGGTATCCAACTTCTCATCTACTAGTTGCTCAGGGCTCATCAGTTCACTTTGAGGGACATTAGGCATGCTTTCCCTTTGACTGACTGGACTGACCATCTCTTGATCTTTCTCATTCTGCATCTGTGCATAAACATTAATGCCCGGAATCTTCCTAAAACATTAACAGAAACCATCATTGCTGTGTACGCTATGGATCACGTCACGTCGTACTTGTTAGACCTGAGTCCGTAGACGACAAGGGGGGGAGGGGAGAGAAGGAGGGGGGAGGTCGTACCTTTTGAACTTGTAAATTACAAAAACGGCTAATCCCACAAACACCACAGATAGCAGCATCAGCATGGCCGAACCACTGTGACTGGGCGTGAGGTCCACCAGGGGAACTACAAGAGAGGAGATCTTTAGAATAGCCACACAGCATGGACTGGAAATAACGCTCTAAACAGATACTGTGCGTCCACTACCCCAGCCATGTACCTTTGTAGTGATATCTGTCTAACCACCGCTCCATGGTCTCTCCGGGGCATATCCCCATCAGGTGTAAGGATCACCTCCAAGAGGCAATCAGTTGTTGGAAGTGTAGCTATTCCTATGGCTTTCTATAGAGCAGAGGCTCTCAAATTTTTGTTACTGGTGACCCCTTTCACACAGCAAGTCTCTGAGTGCGACCCCCTTTATATATTAAAAACACGTTTTTATATATTTAACACCATTATAAATGCTGGAGGCAAAGCGGGGTTTGGGGTGGAGGTTGACAGCTTGCGACTCCCCCATGTAATAACCTCGCAACCCCCTGAGGGGTTCCAACCCCCAGTTTGAGAACCCCCTGCTATAGAGTTCTGGTCAGCCTTGACATACAGATCCATGCGAGTAGGCCGCTGATTTGTATTGGAGTGGTTGGAGAGGGAAGTGCCAGCTGTATTCTATAGGAGTAAAATAAAATATTTGCAGCCAAAATAATGTGTTGATCTGGTGCTATGTGCTCAGTTGTATTCATTATCTGGATGGATCCTGGCTTTCCCACTCTGACTCTGTGATGGTGGTCACTCCTTCCACACCCTATGCTCTAAGAAGGGTGGTGGGAGTGATGTAGGACACCTTTCCCCATTCCTAACCTCTGCCTGCCTCCCTTTCCCCCTTTTAATGGCACTCTCCTCTCCCTTCTCTCTCTCTCTCTCCACCTTCTACCATCTCCCATCCGGTGAGTTTTCCATGGGATGGAAGCATATAGGTACAAGAAAATAAGGGCGCGCACTCTCAGTGCCTCTCCCTCAAGCAACTCTTGATAACACCCCTTACATGATGTGTGTGTAAGACAACACACAGCATCCTGACGCTGATGTGATGGCTACCCCGAGAATAAATGACAAATTACACCAAATCAGAGCGACGGACACACGCAGTCACTCATACATGCACACACAAAACTGAGGCACATGTGCATAGGCGGGCACGCACAGACACAGAGTCGTGCAGACACGCAATCACATGCACACGGTTACATAAATAAGGCAGTCACACTGTAGTCAGACCAGACACACAACATATACAAATGATTACATACAACAGCTACAGAAAGTCGTGTGCTCATTTGCATCCAGCAGACACATACACAATAAACACGACAAACACATGTGCGGCAGTTGCTCAAACACACACAACCACGCTAGCGCATGCTTATGCACATACTCTGAAACACAACACACACACAGCCAGATAAAATACAGAGAAATCTCTGTTTCGGCTGCTATCTAAATAAGGCAAAGTGAAACATTCCGCTTTGATGTTCTGGCTTCAAGAAAATCACTCTCATGAAGGATAAGCATCATTATTAAATAATACTTAATTATAAACGTGTTTTGTCTTCTGAGCCTGTCTCATTCCTTTGTGGATCTGCAGCTCTGGGTGATGACAAAGTGACTCTCTGACTAGTTAAATTCAGTGTCGCTCAACGTTCTTGTTATAATGCTGGGATTAGAGCCGGGTTACCAACAGCCCTTTTACTGCTGGGCACACAATATTGGTATATTTTACTTTGCCTCACAGGGTGGGTTGTTTTGGCTGAGACGTAGGAATGAATGTGATGAATGGGCTGCAGCCTGTTGTCCAGAATCACCATAAATTAATCCTTCTCCTGGTTAGGCCTAAGCAACAGAGCCACAGGTGCAAAAATGCTGAGTCCTCCAGTGGTCATTATTCATCTGCATGAGGGAGCAATGTGTGGGCAAGGCAGAGCTGAACATTCAGGCAGAGTGAGTGTGGACAATACCACCGAGGCTCCAATACAAACACGAAGGAGCCGCTGTGTGGGCGTACACGTTCGCCACCAATCCAAAGCATCGTTACAGATGATTTAAAGTACTGCAGATGGGTGACTAGTATTACAGAGGACTAGCTGGTGTAGTTGGGGCTTTCACTTGTGGCTATCAGCCTTCAGACCTGGCTCAGGTCACAAGTGTGAATGATTTCGGTGGTACTGTCCTCATCTCATGGACATCCACCCAAGTGACAAAAGCCCACCAGAATTGCTAGTATGCTATTGCTACAGTGCTGTATATATGCCTAGCGCCCTACTGATAGATCACGGCCCTACTCTAGGTGGGTTTTAAAGGTCTAAAACAAAATTAAAAACAGGTGGCAGCCTTAATTGCTTGACTGTTGCAAGAATAGTGCACATTTGGATGGACGTCTATGGGGAAAGCTGTGTGGAGAGGATAGGTTTCCGGGGGCCTGCCAGCATGACACTTCCCTGGATCTCTTAGGTTTGAGGTTTTGAATCTGGTGCTAGATTCTCTGAATTAGTTCCAGGCTTCCCACCCTTCTCTAACTCTGGCTTTTTCTGATCAACATCTCATCTGGCCACCAGAATTATTTCCCTGCTTCCTTTTCAACCCAGTCAGCATTTTCCATTTGCTGGTCCTGTCCATGTGCTGGATCACAAAGAAGGCCCTGAGTCAGTTTAAACGCAGCCTTTGTTGGTCTTTGGGAAATCCAGTTTCAACCAGGATATGTAAGTGTCCCCAGTGGATGGTACCTCTCTGGAAGTGTTTATAACCGGAGTGATTCTCCTGAATCACCCCCATGCTGTTCTTAGTTCCTGGCGGAGCTGTGGCAACCTTCATCCCCCCTGGAGTTGCATACAGTCCCTGGCATACAGTGATGCATCAACCATTCACACACTTAATACAACACGGTCCCCGGAGATATTGCATGCAGTTGCACTAGCTGTCACTAATCACTAATAAAACTTTGGGGTATGATGAATAAATGTAGGCTTGTGTGGCACTGTAATGTATGCCCCTTCACCGGAGTTCTGAATGCTTACTACAAATATAAAGTATTTCAAGTATGATGGCTGGTAGATCCCACTGTGCTGCTAGCAAGGAACTTACAATAGATTTTGCTACTCGACAACGGGCAAGACTTTGAGAGGGTGAACACTGACCTGCTGATAAATGGGCCGCATGGACCAGGACTCGAACCCCAGGCTTCAACTCAAACTGGACCAAGTTTTGGTTCAGTTTGTGGATCAATATTTCTGAAATCTGGAAGAAACAGGGGAAAAAAAGCTTAGTAAATTGTATGTGGTCATGGCTACAGAGAAATCAGGGCCATCTACAAGGCAGCGGTTTTACAGAGAATAAGTATGTTCAATGTGCGAGTCAACAGAGATTTACTGTATCTTCTAAACAAAAAAGGAACAGCAGATGGGTACAGCTGTCAGGACAGTACAGATATTTATGTGCTACTAGTAGCTACTGAAACCAACTAGTTACATGAGTAACCTTACTCATAGAGGAAGTCCCACTGACATCAAAGAGACTGCTCATGTGAGTAATAGTACTCATGTACTTAAGTGTTTGCAGTACCAACCCAAGGATAGCAAATGAGTGCCCTGCAGTATCCGCACATGCAAAGCTAAAAAAAAGGAAAAGATAAAAATCAGTGGGTCAAATGTAATGGTCTATGCTATGCAGGAGGTCAGACTAGCGCTTCATGATAGTCCCTTTTAACTTCAGCATTTATGAATCAACCTGGAGATCCACCAGATAAGGGTTCCTCGCAGAGAGCAGATGCTACCCATCCAGGATCAATGCCTGTAGAGCAGGGAATCAGGCTTTGGTGTGAACTCTATTTGAAGATTGCTTTCCTGAACCACAGCAAAGCAGGTTTTCCTTTTCATGACGCTCTTGATGATGTACACAGTAACTGGTTTTCTAGAATATATTATTACTGTTTGTATTCCAATAGTTCCTAAAGGCTCTCAACTGAGATCAGGGCCACATCGTGTTAGGCACTTTACATACCCATAATAAGTGATTAGACCCTGCCACAAAGAGTTTACTGTCTAAACAGACAGGGCAGAGAGGATGAAAGTATTGTACATGTAAATCAGGGGTAGGCAACCTATGGCACGCATGCCAAAGGCGGCACGCGAGCTGATTTTCAGTGGCACTCACACTGCCTGGGTCCTGGCCACCGGTCCAGGGGGCTCTGCATTTTAATTTAATTTTAAATGAAGCTCCTTAAACATTTTAAAAACCTTATTTACTTTACATACAACAATAGTTTAGTTATATATTAGAGACTTATAGAAAGAGACCTTCTAAAAACGTTAAAATGTATGACTGGCACGCGAAACCGTAAATTAGAGTGAATAAATGAAGACTCGGCACAACACTTCTGAAAGGTTGCCGACCCCTGATGTAAATGATGTATAGACTTTTGCAGCATGTTCTGTTTGGATACTTACAGCCTCAGTTTCTCCAGATATTTCATCCATCCCATCAGTTCTCAGGGTAGTGAACAATTTTCCACTTTATTAACATGCACAAGATTAGTGGGGGATGGGGTGTTGTGGAGGAGAGGTGGTTGGAAAACTTGAAAATAACCCAACAGGACAGTGTTGGGTTTTTACAGCCAAGTGAAATTCAGGAAGGGCTATACACTTGTGCCCACTACTTAATCTAATTTGGGTTAAATAAATCTTTATTCCTTTTCAAAGATTAACAAAAAATTGTCAGGGAAACATACATGACCATCATTTTTAGACCATCTTTGTTGTGTTCCTGATTTTTCTCAAGTTAGGCTGTTTTAGTAAAGCTACGGAGATGCGGTTAGGTGTTCTTTGACTATCACTCATCATGGTCGGAGATTGATCTATTTTGGGTTTTTTAACATTCTTAATGATTTTTGTCAATACTGTTGGATCCTGCATTTCATTTTGGCCACTGCTCACTTGAATCGGTGCCCTTGATCCAATATATATTTGGCAACAGCTGACGATGGGCCTTTTATTTTTAAAAATCTATCTCATTTATGCTTTTTAAATCTTGTTAGTGGCACCAGAATGTGTCGTAAATATATTTCTCTCAAGAGGAAGAATAAATAACATTAGCTCATCAAGATTCAGCTGCAGATGTTGTGGATGTGATTGAATTGCTTAGCTCCGAACAGCATGGTTAGAGAGGGGATGCACCCTGGGTATGCGAATGGAGCACAAGCTACACCGGTCTTTAAGCACTCAAGTAAGCAAGCACTCAGAGGCTGGCAGCTACAAAGGACACCACATCCCCCAAAAAGGAGGGACAGATATTGATAGAAATGATCTAAAACCATGGGCATTAATGGCTATCTCATAGAGCTGGAAGGGACCTTGAAAGGTCATTGAGTCCAGTCCCCTGCCTTCACAGCAGGACCAAGCATTGGCCCTGACAGATTTTTGCCCCAGATCCCTAAATGGCCCCCTCAAGGATTGAACTCATAACCCTGGGCTTAGGAGGCCAATGCTCAAACCACTGAGCTATCCCTCCCACCCTGTAACAGACATACCACCAGCCAATCTCCAACTAGCCCCAGGTGTGACCTAGTAGCCATCTTCATATCCTTGTAAGGTTGTTCTTTGTCCTTTGCAATTTTAGCCCAGGCCCTAGGCAGAGATTGACCATGGTGTAGTTTTCATGCAAGCGGCGGCAAATAGCATAACAGGCCTGTTATGTTATTTCTGGTGCAGAGTGGGAAGGGAAGTTGTGGAGGGGGGAATCGTGCAAGTCTCAGTCCAGCTAAAGACACACGTAATGTGCAACCACTATGGCTGAGCAATGATGCCCCAAGACGGAGAATGTGGCTGCTGACTTGCTGGCAGGGAATGGTTTAGTCAGTGATATGGGCAGAGGATGGAGGAGGCTCAGAACCTGGTACGGATCAGCTCAGGTATGAGAATGCCCCAGAGTGTTTGCTTGGCACAAGTACAGTCCAGAAGCATTAAAATCCCACTTGTCCTGCTGTGCACCCTGGATAACACTGAATTCCTGTATAAAAGCAGCCCTCTTCCTGCAGAACAGGCAAAGCGTGATGAGTCCAGGGCTGTTGTGAAAGCCTCACGGCACACAAGGGATGTGAGCAGCCAAGCACGGCCTCTTTTCCCGGACTTACAACCACAGTGATGATATCTGCTTCCATGGGCAGCTGGGGACAAATGAACCAGAGGTCACCCGAACAGAGGCTTTCTTAGCTAGACTTTTGATTTGTGGATCCTACAGGTGTAGGCTTTGATTCCTCAACCATTGCTGCCTGCCCTTGGTTTTGCTCTTGCCCATCCCGCAGTGCAGATCGGACCTGGAGACTGCTAGAGCATTGCCTAGGGCACTGTGATCTTATGGCACATCTTTGTTGTCCACCTTCCAAACACTGAGGGGGAAAGGGAACACAGAGACCTGGCGTCTGTCCCAAGGACATCCCTCTTTTTTGAAGCAGGCACGGCTCCGCTTTTGGTTTCAGTGCATGACAAGTCCACTGTACTCACTGAGGCAGCATGAAATCACATTGGGGGTCCTGTGTCCGGTGGAACAGTGCTAGGGATGTGTTTTGCTGGAAAGGTAGGTGAGGCAACTTCAAAGCGACTGAGTCTAGTTCAGAGAGGCCTACCCTTTTCTGGCCAGTTTAACAAACATATCCTTATTAGGGGAAATGATAGGCCTAAAAAAATGTCCTTCTACATCCTTTGCCTTTAGGATACATAACTAACTAAACTGAAGGTGAAGCTTCTCAGAATAACGAACTCCTAATAAATCTTCAGGAGTCTCCCCTCCGAAAATAATTAGCGTTCAGAATGCATTTGGGTTCTTAACTGAGCCTCATTGACTTTATTGCACGATGTGCAAAGATAATTCCGTAAAAGAAATCAGTCTTTCATCAAAGAACATAAAATGAATAATAATAAAAAGACAGGTGGTGAAAAAAGAGATTCCAATTTACCCACAGAAAAAAAACAAAATTAATTTGGCTTCTCTTGGAGTTTCCTAGAGAGAGGACTGGGTGAGAACTCTGTGCAGCAGTAAACTGCACTACAAGACTCTAAAAGGGCGTGTTTCTACACATAGATCTAAACACTGGGTATCAAGAATTTGGAGTTACATCCTCAACTGGTGTAGACCGGCACTGCCCCTTTAATATCAGTGGAGCTTAGGGTTCATGAGCTGAGGATCTGAACATTTACATAGATTTTGTGCAGGATTTGCAACTAGTACATAGCATGTGACATGTTCTGACTTTTTCAATTCACTGGATGAATCAGTAAACAACTAAAGAAAGAATTAAATATAAACGTTGGTGGGAAGGGATTTGGTTTAGTGCTTAGTAGAGTGGTGTGGGAGTTAAGACAACAGGGATCTGCTTTCAGCTCTGCTACAGACTCTCTGCAACTTGGCTGGGTCACATTGTGTTTCTGGACCTCACTTTCCCCATCACTGACATGAGCATAATCAGACGGGGCTAATTTATGTGGGGTGTTATGAGGCTTTGTAAATTGCTTTGAGATTCCTTAATGAATGATGTGATGTAAGTGCAAGGTATTATTAATATCAATTGCTGCCTTGACAACACAACAGAGATGGTCCCAAGGGATACTGTACTGTTGCACAGGGACAACGCAGGCCATCAATGGTCCTAGGTGAACTTGAGAGGTCCTGAACACTAATACAACAGCTGAACCTCAGATGGAAAAATACACTAGGACAAGAGGCGAACTTGAGAATCATAGGATGTTCTTGACACAGGGGCAAAAGTTGAGCCTGGGATAAAGAGAGAGGCTGGTGTTCACAGGGGCAATAGGTGATCTTGAAAGACGTCTGGGCATTAGGGCCATAGGGTAAATTTGAGATTCATCTCTAGGGCACACAAATCACCTTTCACCCAGGCTGAAAAACAACTTGTCATCATTTTGCACAGACAAGTGACCCTGAAGAGAAGAGTGAAAAAAAACTCCACCTCTCTGCAACAGCAGCTGCTCAAGGAGCATGGAGGGATAAAGTCCTTTTACAGGCACTTCTGGGGCACTGCATGGCCATATATTTCAAAAAGTGAGTGCAAACATCTCTGAGTGTCCTCAGGGCTGCCAGCACAGATGCGTGTGCAAGCAAGTCCCTGACAGGCATCCGTATAGACTGCAGTTAATGTGGATCTTTAATTCTGTGTGTGGGGCCTGATTTTCAGAGGTGCTTTCTGTTTGATTTGCCAATGCTCAGCGCCTCTGAAAATCAAGCCC